AGATACCGATTTAACACAATATGTGATTTTATGTGAATTTTCGGGTTTTGACCATTTGCAGAACAAATTCATACAATTTCTTCCAAGTGTGTTATCAGATATGTTTGAATGTTTGAAGAATTGATAAAAAAAAAATCTTTGAAACTATGGAAGTAAAATTTCTTAATCTTATTCATTTTACTCAGAAATGCGATTTGAGTTACCCCTACTCCTTATTTTTTAATGAAAATTGCACATTTTCACCATTTTTGGCAGATTAAACGCTTGATATAAAAAAAAATACTGTATTAAACTATTTTTAGTATTCAATGAATCAAAAGAAAATGTGTTTCTCTTTCTAAAACAGCCACAAAAAAGGGGGTCGGTGTGCTTCTTTTATTGTCCCATTATTATTTGTGTTATTTTTCACCTTTTTCGGGGTCAAAAATCAAAAGTGCTTCAGTTACCCTAATATGTAAAAAAATATATCAATAATATATAACTTTCCACTTTTTTGCATATTATTTTAATCATATTGAACATAATAAAGTTTTACAGCAAAATTGAACCTGCTACAATTAAAAATGGTGATACAATGACAATTTAAGTGATCAATCTAGTGTCAAAAAAGGTGAAATTTTGGCCCTTTGTGAAGCGCAAGAAATTCACATAAATACACTTTTTCAAAATGGCCGCCAAATTCGTCATTTTAAAAAAAACTTCTTGTAAAAAATGATCTACACACAACAGACATCTAGTTTTTTTTACATGTTTTTCAGATGTGTGTTTGCTATTATACCTATCATAATTTGTTAAATATTACAAAAACACGTTACACCAGATCAAAACGACACTTGAACGTGACTGAAACCTCAGAAGAGTACATCCTTAAGTAACACAAACAAAAATGATACAATTAAACAATTACTACACAAAAATCTCCACAAAAACAATAGATAATGACTACAAACATAAAATATATTAAAGCAAAAACATTACAGATTGATATCAGTTGTAAATTTCTCTAACTAATTATGATGAGGCATACCGTATACCAATCAACTACAAAACACAAATTACTGTAACGAAAGAAGCAAATAAAAGTATGACAATGACGTCGATCGATCTCGTCTATTACACAGGAGGAAGTAAAGGTAGCAAGGTGGCGTAACATTATCGTGTAATCTCTGGTTATACCGATCACGGTTATTAGCCGGCAGCTAGCCTACAGTTGGACAGTGATAATGATTATCTTAAGTCCCGAGGCTTACTTGTAAAATGCTTCTCTCTTATCGTGGTTATTGAATTATAATGTTTGATTGGTTACAAATCCTATTAATTTCTATCGCTCAGCATGAACTTTGACATTGATGTCATGTTATTGGTTCGTTTTCTAATTAAATATTCATACACAGGTTGTGCTCAACTAAGTATGAGATGTACTCACACTTAGTCTTATGAGTTCTCATTTTAAGTCTTTAGTGATGTTTCCCTTTATATACAGAGCTATATATATGGATGAGTTTATTTAAGAAAGTCTTACATATATCAGATTTTACTTTAGATTTGTATATACATAATTATTAATTCTTACCAGCTAGCTATCATAACTTATACTATACTAATGCTTTTAAGTGGAAATTTTCGCGTTTTGATGTTTAAACCTATCGTGGTGTGGAAGTTTTCGCGTTTTGATGTTTAAACCTATCGTGGTGTGGAAGTTTTCGCGTTTTGATGTTTAAACCTATCGTGGTGTGGAAGTTTTCGCGTTTTGATGTTTAAACCTATCGTGGTGTGGAAGTTTTCGCGTTTTGATGTTTAAACCTATCGTGGTGTGGAAGTTTTCGCGTTTTGATGTTTAAACCTATCGTGGTGTGGAAGTTTTCGCGTTTTGATGTTTAAACCTATCGTGGTGTGGAAGTTGTCGCGTTTTGATGTTTAAACCTATCGTGGTGTGGAAGTTTTCGGTCTGACAACGGTTCTAAAATATATATGCTTTATAATTCTTCTATAATAAAATATTCACGAATGGATATTTTCGAGCTCACTTACCCAAGGCGACAAGCGTGAGCATTATAACACGACAAACATCGGCACTACTACAGTAAACTAAAGAAGTTCTGTACCAAACACATGGTTTGACGTCTCTGATCGGGACAAAGTACGGCAGAACACACGATGACTTTGAAAGAAATTGGGACGTCACGTAGCGTGTTATTATTTGTTCACAATGAAAGTACTTTGTACATCTATCGGGATAATTGTGTCAGATGTTGGAAGGTTAACAATGGAAAACAAGACTTGTCTAATGTTAAAATAACGTTTATCACAAGTTTACAATTAATTTTGTTATGTAACAGAAATGAATAAATGTTAAAACTGAATTTGCCACATTTTTCAAATAAGATCTGTTATGCAACAAAACTTATATAATGTTAAAAAAAATTAGCCATTATTCACAATTAGGTGTCCTACTAACCTGAACTGAATATATGTAATAAACAAACCTTTATCCCACGGAAACATAATCGATGTAAAAACAGTTTTGTCCTATGTTTACGATTACAGTTTTGTTATGTTACAAAAATAAATTAATGGTGCGATTATCCTTTATCCTTTGTTCACAGTTGATTTGTGATTTCAATAAATTTTATTGTCAAAGGACAAATGGATTGGGCAGCAGGCATAGCCTATTTAAGCCCTTTCCAAACATAGTAACAGTATCAAATTAATAACCAAATTAGGGGAAACAACTACTAATACTCAATTTTATTATAATTGAATCTAATGGTTTAAATTCTAACCTTTTATTTTGATATTGAAAAGACATTAAAAAATATACCGGCATATATATATATATATATATACATATTATGAAGAGAAAAGAAAAATCATTTGTTAAACAGTTGATTTACTGGGGGAACCGAACTGATTCCACGTACAACAATAGCCTTTCTCCAATACTCACAGCTCAATTTGTTATGAAAAAGAACTGAATCAATTATCCTATGGTCACAATCAGTTTTTAAATGAAAAATATTTTCAATATCCCCATTTGTCCATGTTTGGACAACACTTTCTGTGTGTTCATTCATGTCTGATTCGGCTCAAGCTGCCGTCTCCTTCGTGTCGGTGTGACAATTTCCAAGTGAGAGTTACTGTCTTACTGTCTGTGTAAAATTAACACTTTGTTCTTTGCTTCAATTTATTACTTAATAAAAGATCTGGTGCAAAAATTGCCAGATGGGCAACTGGTTAAGTCTTATGTTTATGGCAAATAAAAGTGTTTTAATCCTAAAGTCCCCTCATTAAGCAGATGATATATAAGGACGATAAAGTATTGTGTACATGGTGTCAAACAATAAACCATAATTGATCTTTATCAGTGTATGAAACAAAATGTCACCTTGTAACGACAAACGAAACTTACGCTATCTCGCTCAGGTTTGAATACAAAAGCTTGCTTTACCTTTTTTTCTGACATGAAATTGGCCAGTTGGTGTAGTTTTACTCTGTTAACTATCAGTACCATAGGGGGTTTAATACTTTGGTTATAGTACAAACATTGATTACCGTGATCATTGCAATACATTATTTAATGATTTCGTCTTTCCATATGCTCTTGAACAAAATCTGCATTTTGCGAAAGTTGATAAGTACACATTATACAAAGTAACAAACGAAGAAAGAAAATCAGTAATAAAAACCCAACTTACGGAAGGGGATATCTAAAATATGTCTGGTCCATGTCGCCTCTCGGCCGATATCTTTCATTTTTTTACTTCGTTTCCATATCATTTAAATACGTATACATCGATTGTCATGCATCTATGTGTTTGTGAAAGGTAATTATTGCTGTGACATGTTATGTACAATATATTTTATAAAAACATGTCTTTATCGCAGAAAAATACCGTTATAATATGCACGTGTACTAGAACGTTATACTATGTTATAGCGTAAATAGATATTTTTCTTTTACAGTTGTTATTTAAATACCATAAAAAACACGTTCAAATTGGGTAGTTTTTGGCGGTTATTTACTGTATAAACTAAAACCATTATTATTATTATTATTACTATGTGATATATCGTGGCTAAAACGACCAGGCGTTAAGAGTGCACATGCATTACAACAACAATGCACGTATGAATGCATGATAAAAGTACGCGCAGTAATATAATTATGTGATAACCAGGACAATGAAGTGACAGCCATGTGGATAGATTTCTCTTAAGCTGCTTGGGCACCATCAATTCATTTCAATTAAAATTAAAACACCGAAGCGGGAAGTTAGTTTAAAAAGAAAAGTCGTTTATAAACCATGCTCGTGAGAGTGTGAAAAGTCCTCCACAGATCGAAATCTTACCAACGAACACCAAGGGCCCACTGATAACTGATGATGAACAACTTCCGGTTTCTCTATGTCAACTCTCAAGAATTCATCTTGCAGAAGGAAAAACGTTACTCCCAGTGTTTTGATAAAAGAACGAAAAAGCAGTGGAGAGTTTTCGCTAATTTGTGGAGTCGATTTATCGCTATGTTTCCATTAGTTCTCAAATCTAACCTGACAGTTCCGTTCTTTGTTTGCCTATTAGGGCCGTGCAATAAAACTCCATATTTCGATTTTCCAATCAAATGTGTACTGTTATACGGAAGGTTATGTACATTCCAAGTTGCATATACAAACATCTTTTGACATTTTATATTAGCCAGTGCTTATTGGCATCATAAACTGATATTACAACGATTACGAAAGACCATAAATCGCCCGTTAATACATTACCTCGGGCAAACTACAGGTTCTTGATTATAGTAAATTACGGCTAAAGTAATAATGTAGTAATTTTTCTTATCATTATTCCTTACAATGTTAAAATAATCGCAGGTTTAAATTGTGTCTTTTCCATGGACACTTAGCTTATTGCAACAATTGAAATGTAACTACCACATTGTTTTGGTATTTATCTTATTGATTATTTGTTTACATCCCATTATGAAATAAGAGAAACCCACTCACCTCCTAAGCGATTTCATAGATTTGCTGTCTCCACCAGGATTCATAGACGGAGGTGCACCAAGGAGGAATTCAGAACTATCGAGCAGACGACACACGAATTGAGCGGCAATCACTAGACGACAAGCTAATGTCAAGCTCACGTGCGTTCAAACAATTTAATCCAATCACGTTGACAAAAACGCAGTAGTTAAAGACCAGAACTCTGCTAATATCATTTTATAGACAGATGATTTGCAATGGCTTGAGAAAGAGACGGATGGGTTGTAGAGTATCCCCAAGGCATGAATTGGTTCTAATCCAGTTAGCTTTGTCAAATCACATGCACAATCCTCGTGGGTGAAGAGGAATTCAAAATCTGTCCAACATATTTTTTTCCGTCTTGCAGTAGCTGTCAAAGACAAAAGTGCGAACAATTTTATCTGTTAAATGGCAATAAGAAACAGAACAATTTCTATGCATTGTTTCGTTTAGCACACAAAGCCAACAGGATATGGGGTTTGTTAAAACCCCTGTCAAAACATGGGAATGCAGACTGTCAAAACTGACATTGTTTGATGCAGTTCTCTCATCAAAAACACAATTCATAAAGAGAGAATTCCCAAACCAAATATTACTTGGCAAATAGCTAATCCTTTGTTCGAAGAATGTACCTTCATTTACAACAAATGTTAATCACGAAGCATTGTAATATGACTAATGCCAATATGCTAATCCGTGATTATCTGTCGAAACACTTTTTTATCACTAAAATCTAATTCAACAATATTATCCAATGTTATATCCTCCTCTCATGTTTCATTGACTGCAAATGTACCTAAGCTTCCTATTGTTTGCAACGACGATATCTGGTCTATACACATCTGATTACGTTTGTCGGAAAATTAATCCTATATTCAAAAAACATTAGTTTCAATGTTTTATAGGGCTGAGATACAGATGAACATCCGACACCTTAGCAGGTGAGCGTCCCGGTGCATTAGAATGAGATCGGACCAGGATAGGATTCAGAACAGTGTGGCCGAGTCGATTTAATAGGTAATTCTACGAAGGTGTGAAGCCCGGTATTGACAAGGGATTATAAAAAGCAGGTAATACCTTACCAGATAACTCGTCCACAGGTGTTCACGTAGGCCTATACACACAGCACACACGGGGCCCCCTATTGGACACTTGAGGCGCTGTAAAGCTTTCTTATGTTCGGGTAAATAAGCTCTGGGAAACATTCGATATATTGGTGCCCGATTGGGGTATAGTCCTACCCTGTTACTAGTCAGGTTTAACCTCAAGTGTCATTAGGCAAGCCGAAACAAGGTACTTCGAGGATCTGGCATGACGAAAAAGTGTCAAATCTCTCATTTCGTAAACTAGAGTGGACGAAATACAACCGCTAATGAAATCACACTAAGGTACAGTGGTGTGGAGGTATTATGTCAGCAGAGAGTCGGGCATCTATACATTGTACAAAATGTATTTATAATGTAAGGGAGTCGTCAGAGATACATTTATAAGGAAGCCTCAGTCGACTGTTATATTTAACACAAACCAAATGCTTACGCAAGCTGTATTTGTTTAAGTAATTAGAAAGCGATGACACATTAAGAATTCTATCAATTTAATTTTCTTACGAAAAAAACAACAAAACTTTAAGCAAACATAAACCAAACCTTTATTATATACAGATATGCAGGCCTAATTGGATATTTGCTGAGCATGTCTCATGAATGTGCACTGCTGTATATGAATTACACAGTGATGCAGGACACCTGTGCGTCTAACTGCACGTCCTCAATCTGGCGGTGTGTTACCGTACGATTCCGTGAATTGTATGAAAGGTATGATGTTGGGAGCAAACCACAGCGGGACTCATGTCCACCGGGTAATATCCATATCTTTATTGGTTTAATATCAATTTTACCTGCACACCTGGATCGACAGGTATTAGTTCTCACCTTTCCTATGATCAACACTGAAAGAGGACCTGTCTTGGCTTCCTATAATATTTACTGACATCCCAAGTCATATATGACACATAGACGGTGACACTTTTCTGTGTAAGGCATGACAAACCCCTGTTTGTCAACATTTCACAGTAGTTGTTTGCACAATTGGTTTATGAATTAATAGTAGATCAGAATATCAGACAACATGTATTGGTGACATTCGGACACCATGTATTGGTGATATACATACAGACACCATGTACTTGTAATAGACATACAGACACCATGTATTGGTGATAGACATACAACATATATTGGTGATAGACAGACACCATGTCTTGGTGATAGACATGCAGACAACGTGTATTGGTGATA